GCCTTAGAGTGCGGCTTGGGAGCCTCTGTGGCAGTCAGCATCTGAGTCTGCGCCCTCAGAGTCCCAGAAATGGCCTTAAACCACAGGAGCCCTTGGAGAAAACCCTGTCACAAGCACACAGGGGCTGGGCTTGCTCCAGCTTGCCTGAGAGACAGCGCTCCGTGGCCCTTTTACTTTCTTAGTCTAGTCCTGCTTCTAAACACTTAATAAATTCACTCAACAAATATGTGTTGAGTATCTGCTTGTGCCAGGCATTATTGTCAGGCTGAAGAGAAGTGTGAAGGGAGAGAAGGAATCTAAGAAGCCACTTTGTATCTCTAGCCATGGCTGGCTCATCTGAGAACTTTCTTCCCCTCCTCCAACCTTTTGGACCTCGCTTGGGGATAACCCCAAAGGCCCCTGTCTAGATGTGCCTCCATTTTTGCTTGCCATACACCTTAGCTACTCCCATGGTACTGGCTTAAAGCAGGGTAAGAAACTAGGTTAGTTTTGATCTCGGTAAGCAAACAGGAAGTAGAACAGGGTTGTCAGATGACAGACTGATGGTCACACACACACACACACACACACACTGGGGTACAGCAGCATACTTTCCCTGCACCAAGTTCCATGTACAATCACGCTGAAAAAGCTACAGAACTTTCTTCCTGCCCTTCTCAACGTAAGATCTCCCACTCATTCTGGGCCAACAGCTGGAATGGCATGATCCTCTTTAGGTTGCTAAGAATTTGGCTCAGCTCCCCGGGGCTTTCCCAGGCACCAGCCTTCCTGAGCACCCTACACACACTTCAGAGCGAGAGGGAGGATCTTTGTTGTGGCTTTTGCACCTGTCTCTAGACCTTGGGGGTGTGGCTCTAGGACAGAGATGACCTATCCCAGCTTAGCTTGAGGGCTGCTAGGATTTGGAACAACCCCGACCCCATTGGATGATGCTCTGACCTTCTGCAGAGAGGCAGGCAATGCCACCTGGGAGGAGGGGCCCTGCAAAGCTGAAATACAGGGCACTGTTCCCTCCCCATAGAGAATAGGGACGTTCGTCTTGTCTGTCTGCAACCTATTTTCCTTTTTTTCAAATGCTTCTCATCTTCTCTGTGCTGCCTCTATGATCCAGGAGGCCAGGTAACATAGCAGGAAATGTCCTGGAGAGCAGTCAGGATTCTGAGTGATGCTCCTGGCTCAGCCTCTAACTCAGTATGTGACAGTTGGGCTAGTCCCATTCTCTTTTTGGACCTCAGTTTCCCTGCCTTCAAAATGAGCAGAGTAAAAGAGATGGTCTCCAGGGATTTTGTTTCTGTTTTGTTTTTTTTTCCCCACGGTGCCATCTTACCAACTTTTATTTTTGCTTATTTTGCTCTCTCTGGATCTTTTCCATCTGAGGGTAAGGGAAGTGTCAGAAGTGTCAGTTTTTGAATCCTGCAAGCACATTTCAAGACTGGCCTGAAATTGCATGAGAAACATCATTCTAAATAGATATATTTTTTTCAAAAGCACCTTACCAACCAACTGCAATGCTGTCCTGTTCTTTTTAATTCACACCCCTCTCTCCTCTCTCGTCCCCATGCTCCCCACCTCAGTGCTCCGTGCTGTATGCGTGTGCTCTCTGTTCTTGTATACTCAATAAAAGTGAAATAAATGTGTTTGATGCTGAACCACAGACTTCCTCTGCCTCCCTCTCTCCCTCTCCTCCCTCCCCCACTCTGTCTTTCCTTCTCTCAAACCTTGGCTACTGGTACGTTGGTATAAAACTAGATTAGAAACCTCCCAACTTCGAATACTTTTATTCAACAAATGTTCAGAACTCCCGATGAAGCCCAAGACAGTGGCTTGGCTCTGTAGTAGGTCAGCAGCAAATAGGGCAAAAGTCCTTACTGTGCAGGAGCTGAGAGGCTCTTGAGAGCAATGAACAACCAAACAGGCAACTCCCTGTTTAAAGGCAATGACAGAGTGATCAGCGCCAGGAAAGAAATGCAGAGAGGGAGATGTGCTTCAACAAAGTGGTCAGGGTTGAGAGGGCAGCTCACTGGTAGAATGTGTGCTTAGCATATGTAAGGTCTCAGGTTTGATCCCCAGCATGTCTCCCTCCAACAGAAAAAGAAAAAAAAACAGCCAGTTAAGGGCCTCCCTGAGGAGGTAGTCTGAGCTGAATGAAGAGAAAGATCAAGTAAGGTAACAAACTTGGGTGAGAACAAGCACATAGGAGCAGTAAGCAGACTAGTTCCAATGCCCGGAGGGACGTGGAGAAGGAATACCATGCTATCTCTCCTGTACCCCCTCCCCCACAGTGGGAGCCTTGTGGATAAGTACTCAGGCCTCCACTCCAGCCTTTGACCATAACCTTCATATACATGTTGCCATAGCCTATCACCTGCTCCATGATTGACCTTTTTTCTTTAAATTGGCTAACTTGAATGATTGTTTTAAAAGAAGCTATATTATTACTATGTCCATAAATGAAAAATTAGTGTTATTTGCCAAAGGAAAGAATCTCCATAAAAACGAATGCAAAGGTATTACCAAAAAAAAAAACCTCCAAAAAAAACCCAAACATATAAAATCTAGACTCATTCCTTGGACCACTTGAGGTACACATACTACATTTTCCCCTTTATTCTATCAATGACTTGGCCCAGGCCACCTTTCTATATTGCCCAAAAGCAAACCAATGAGTCTTTTATTCCACACATACGTATTTTTTTCAGAGTTGAAACCTTGTTGTACATACCATTTTACATATTTTTAAAAATATTTTTTAAACCAGCCCTGAAGCTTGAATTCAGAATCTAGGTGCTGTCCTTGAACTTCTCTTGCTCAAGGCTAATGCTCTAACACTTGAGCCCTAGGTACATTCTGGTTTTCAGGAAAGTCTCATGGACTTTGAACTGTGATCCTCAGATCACAGCCTTTTGAGTAGCTAGGATGATAGCCAGCACCTGGTTATAAATACTTTTATCCAGAGCATTTACTCATAATTTCAGATATTAAATATCATTTTCTTATAAAGGTAATTTACTAAATAATGCAAAGGCTGTGTGATGAAAAGTAGTTCTCCAGCTGTCTCTGGATTACCATTATTGTTAAAGATAATTGCTGTGAGGTGCTTTGTGAATTCTTCCCAGAATTTTCCCTGTAGGTTTCCTTTAATGATTGGTCACTACTGAGATTCTGGAATAGGGCTTGGTTCGCAAACACTAGGTCCCCACACAACTCAGGGTCATATGCTCCCTGGATCTGTATGGCCAGCCTCAGCTTCTTGGGAAGGATTGGTTCATCTAAATCAGTGTTTCTGAACTAGGATTGGAGGGAGGATGAGGGAGCACTGCCTGGAGACGTTTGTTGTCCCAACTGAGGGGTGCTCCTGGCATGTGAGGCCACAGCTCTGGGTTGCTACTACATCCTATAATACATAGGACAGCTATCTACAACAAAGAATTATCTGGCCCCAAATATACCAAGGATGAGAAACCCTGATTTGAATAAAGATTGCAAGCCAAAGGCAGGGATTCCTGGGCCATCAGGCTACTTCTTTTATGTCCAGTGTTAAGTGTTCTGGAGTCTCTGAGGTGATGGTGAACCCATCTATAACAGGGAGCTGTGAGACTAAGACTAGAAGTGGGAAGCTGAGCTACATCAGGCAGGAAATGGGACTGACAGGCTGAGATTGATTTGCTTAACTTCAGAGGTCACTTCTGGTTAGCCCTGCAGGAACCCACTGTGATTAGCATGATTGCAGTGCCCAGCCTAGTCTGCAACCTCTTAAGAGATGACTTGTTACTGAGACACATTGATGTGTCTAGCTGTCACCGAGGAAGTGTGACAGACAAGCTAAAAAGCAGGAACACAAGGTGGAGAACAGCCAGTTAGACCGTGATTTGCATCCTAACTCTGCCTCTCTGGAACTTCAGTTTTCTCTCTTGTTGACTGAAAAGTGAAAAGGAATAGTGTAAGGATTTTAAATAATACCCAAGTAGCCTGCCCGAGGATTTTGGCATTATATAGCCAGACATCACTATCACATAAACCAATTCCTTGGTAATGAATTGCTTAAGATATATCTCCTACCTACTGCCTCTTTTTTCTTTTTCTGTTTTTTCTTTTTTTTGGGGGGGGGAGGGCCATGGGTCTTGAACTCAGCTTCTGGAGGGCTGTCCATGAGCTTTTTCACTCTACCACTTCGAGCTACAGCTCCACTTCAAGTTTTCTGGTGGTCAATTGAAGATAGAGTCTCATGTACTTGTCCTGCCCAAGATATCTTTAACGGCCATCCTCAGATCTCAGCATCCCGAGTAGATAGGAGTACAGGCATTAGCCACTGGTGCTCAGCCCACTCTGCTTCTTTAGAGGAGCCCAAAGAATATAACCACCTAGCACAGGGCTAGACTCATGAATAGAAGCTGCTCACCGATACCAAGTTAGTATCATTATTAATTAAGTGCATAACACGTGTTTTGAAATAGCTTTGCACTAGGACCCAAGGAAACAGTGTAGCATAAGACTGGCAAATTTCCTTCCTCAACCAGAAATGTCAGGCTAGGCTTTCAGGAGACTGGGTGACCACCAGTGGCTTATGTAGTGGCTACCACAGCTGCTGAGACTGGTTTTCCCTGGGCTAGGGCCTGAGTTTCGGAGGCTCTCTCTCCCCTAGAGCTGAGCGTGACTACAAAGCGGAGACTGGGTGGCAGTGGGCCAGCTCTGACAGATTGGCTGAAGAGAATCTGAGTGTGGAAGTTTGTTGGGTAGCCGTGACCGGGACCATTCTTCAATGATCTTGACTGCTTGAGACCAAAGCAGTGGCTATGTTATGCATCGTTTAGTAACAAACGTTGTTATCCCACAATTCAGGTGGCAAAGCGAAAGCCTAGGAATAGTTAAAATGCATTGCTTGACCAGGCGGAACCTGCGGGCACGGGCCTTTCCTTCTGTGACCGAGCGCTCGGCCGGACAGCTTTTTCCGTCGCTCTCACCCGGCGCTTCCCCCTCCGCCCCCTCCCCACGGCCAAACTTCCGGTGCGTTTCCGCGGTACGGGAGCGAGGGGTGAGGACGGTGAGTGGCGTCTCCCGCCGTTCTTTTCTTTTCTTTTTCCTCATTCCGTGGTCTGTGTGAGCAGGTCGCTGCTCCTCACGACTCGGGCCCGCGGGTTGCGGCGAACGAGGCCTCTGTGGCCTGGTAGGCCGCGTGCGGGCCGCGGGCCGGGGTGGGAACGCGGCGGGTGCCCCGGAGACCTCGGTGGGCCGTCCCGGGGATCGCCGGCGTCGAGGCCGTCCCGGGGACCGCCGGCGTCGAGGCCGTTCGTCCCGGGGACCGCCGGCGTCGAGGCCGTTCGTCCCGGGGACCGCCGGCGTCGAGGCCGTTCGTCCCGGGGACCGCCGGCGTTGTGGTCGTCAGGGCGCCCTGCTGCGCACCGAGTCACAGCCGAGGAAACTTAGTTGTACCCGACTCAACTCTGCTCTCCTCTCTGCGCGACCCGGGGGTGAAGTCTCCCCAGAAATGAGCCTTTATTTCTCGTCTGCACAGTGGCGACTGTATTTTACTAAGTAACTGCTTTCTAAGCATCGGGCAGGTGCTAGGGATTTCGAAGGACTCAAATCTTGTGGAGATGACAGATCTCAATCAAAGTCACAACCGTGTAAGTGGTCTTGGAAAAGCCAGGAAGCACCCAGGTGTAATCACAACTCCTTCCCCTGTCCAGCTCCCCCGTTCTATCCCAGGGTCAAGGAAGCTTGACCTTGGAAGTGAATATTGAGCTGAGGTCCGAAGAAAAAAAAATGATTTGACCGAGTGTGGTGGGGAGAGTGCACTCCGACTTGAGGGTCTGTGTTGTGGGGAATCTGGAGGGGTTACCTAGCATGTGACCATCCGGGCTTTGTAGTTCAGCCTTTGTGGTTACCTTAGAGGCACTCTAGAAGGCAAATGAGTGGGATGGTATAAGATAGGCATTTTGAAATGGTCATTCTGGTGGTTGGATAGAGAAAGGATTGAAGGTCAAGCCAGCGTTGTGTGTAAGGGAGGATGGATTGGAGAGGTAGTGGAGAGTGGATGGAGATAGGTGTATACCAGGACTGTGAGGAACTCACAGACCCTGAGGCCAGTCAGGCTGGTATGCTGCAGAGTACTGTGCATACTCAGTAAACCTTTCCCAGCCTCTGCTCTGTGCCAGGCCGTGTGCCAGCTGCTGGAGATACAATGAAGAGAATTGAAGGATGGCAGAATTAGAGTGAAGGGAATGCCACAGGGAAGATGGCTAATAGATGAGCAATTACTCTAAATGGAATTTCTGTTCATTCCACAGATATCAAGCACTTTCTGAATTCTAGATTATGATTAGGAAGGGGAAGATATAAATATGTCCAGTAGTGCCTTTCAAACTTTGTGTGTGTTTGTGTGTGCCAGTCTTGGAGCTTGAACTCCAGGCCTGGGCACTCTCCCTGAGCTTCTTTTTGCTCAAGGCTTGCACTCTACCACTGAGCCGTAGCACCACTTAGGGCTTTTCTGTATATGTAGTACTGAGGAATTGAACCCAGGGCTTCATGCATGCTAGGCAAGCAATCTATCACTAAGCCACATTCCCAGCCCCAGAATAAGAATCATTTGTAGTGTTTTTTTAGGTACAAATAATATACTTTTGAATTTTTGTAAAAAGACTGATCTTCCTACACTTTATGGTTTGGTTGGTTGGTTGGTTAAAATGTGAGAAGTAATTCCAGGCACTGTTGGCTCATGCCTGTAATCCTAACTACCCAGAGGCTGATATATGAGGGTCACAGTTCAAAGCTAGCCTGGGCAATAAAGCCCATGAGGCTTTTTTGTCAGTTGTGGGACTTGAACAGGGCCTGAGCCCTGTCCCCGAGCTTTTTCACTCAGAGCTAGTGCTCTTTCACTTTGAGCCACAGTGCCACTTCTGGTGGTTAATTGGAGATTGAGTCTCATGGACTTTCCTGCCCAGGCTGGCTTCAAACCATGATTCTCAAATACCAGCTCCCTGAGTATCTAGGAATACAGGCATGAGCCATCATTGGTTCTGGCTTGTGAGACTCTTATCTCCAATAAACTGCCCAGAAAAAGCCAGAAGTGCTGTGGCTCAAATGGTAGAATACTAGCCTTGAGCAAAAAGGAGTTCATGGACAGGGCCCAGGCCTTGAGTTCAAGCCCCAGGACCAGCACCAAAAAAAAAAAAAAGAAGAAGAAGAAAAAAGCAAGAAGTAAACAATTAAACAGCAATTGTTTTTTTCTGCTTGTGAATTTTTTTTCTTTAAGAATTGTGATATGAGCTCAGAATCTTGTGCTTGCTAGGTAGGCACACTACCATTTGAGCTATGTCTTTAGCCCTTTTTGCTTTCACTATTTTAATAGGGTATCGTGTTTTTTGGTCTACAGTCCTCTTCTTTATGCTTCCCATGTACTTGGGATGACAAGTATGGGCTACCAGGTAAATATTTACTCCGTGACTTACTCTGTGGATGTTTCTTTCGAGGCCCAGCATAGATCTTGGCACAGTGCAGATAATTAACGGAATTTGTTGTTGTTGTTATTGTTGTTGTTTTGTTGGTCCTAGGGTTTGAACTCAGGGCCTGGGCACTGTCCCTGCTTCTTTTGCTCAAGGTTAATGCAGTTCATGGCCAGCCCAGGCAGGAAAGTAAGTGAGAGTCTTGTTTCCAAGTGGTAGAGCTCTAGCATTGAGCAAAAAAAGCTGAGGGACAGTGCCCAGGCTCTGAGTTCAAGCCCCATGACTGACCCAAAAAACCCAAAACACAAAAGTCTTCTCTGGCCCTGAGATTTTCTTCTTCCGTAGAACAGGGTTGATTTGGATTAAGGGACTAATTCTGTGAAAGGGTCATTTCAGTTTCTTGCATACACACAATGCTCAGCAAATAAAGCACTTTTCCCCAAGGTCTATTTAACTCTTGTTCTTTTCTGCAGCTATTGTAGAAGGTCAGCAAGAAGGGTTCTCTTTTTGGGTTCCAACTACTAGCCCCATGGCTGCCGTGCAGATGGATCCTGAGCTGGCCAAGCACCTCTTCTTTGAAGGGGCCACTGTGGTCATTCTGAACATGCCCAAGGGAACTGAGTTTGGCATCGACTACAACTCCTGGGAAGTGGGGCCCAAGTTCCGAGGGGTGAAGATGATCCCACCAGGCATCCATTTCCTCCACTATAGCAGCGTGGACAAGGCTAATCCCAGAGAGGTGGGTCCTCGGATGGGCTTCTTCCTTAACCTGCAGCAACGAGGGTTGACAGTCCTGCGCTGGAATGCCATCCGGGAAGAGATAGACTTGTCCCCAGCACCAAAAGCTGAAGTAGAAGCCATGAGGGCCAATCTCCAAGAGCTGGACCAGTTTTTGGGACCTTACCCATATAATACACTCAAGAAATGGATCTCACTCACTAACTTCATTAGTGAGGCCACAATGGAGAAGTTGCAACCCGAGAGCCGGCAGATCTGTGCCTTCTCAGATGTGCTGCCTGTACTCTCCATGAAGCACACCAAGGACCGGGTGGGGCAGAATCTGCCTCATTGTGGCACTGAGTGCAAAAGCTACCAAGAGGGCTTGGCCCGCCTGCCTGAAATGAAGCCCAGAGCTGGGACAGAGATCCGTTTCTCAGAGTTGCCCACTCAGATGTTCCCAGCTGGAGCTACACCAGCAGAGATAACTAGACACAGCATGGACCTGAGCTATGCCCTGGGCACTGTACTCAGCAAGCAGTTCCCCAGCAGCCCCCAGGATGTGCTTGGTGAGAAGCAAAAGGCTCTTTGGGAGTGGGCCAAGGGAATGATGTTAAAAGGAGTGTTTTAGAAGAAAGGGCACATCTTGGTTATCTAATTCAGATTCCTAAACCTGGTAGGAGGTAGAGTCATTCGGTATACTCTTAAAAGATACAGGTATATTTTTACCCTTATGCTAGAGGTTTTGAATCAGGAGATCTGCTTCAGGGCTCCAGCAATTTGGCTGGCTGACTATCTTGTAATAATCAAGCATCCTAGGTAAATCTGTGCAGGTAACTTGTGTTTGGGAACACTGATGTGGCCCAGCCCTATAGAGGGAAAGGATTTGGCCAACAGAGTGGTTGAACTGAGACCAGAGCCCGGAGCTCGCTTTGGCCAAATAGTATTCCTGCCACCTGCTTATTCCTAGGTTTCCCAAGGTGTTGGTCTCTACTACTTTAGACTGGGCAGTGATTTTTTTTTTTTTTTTTTTTTGGTCGGTCGTGGGGCTTGAACTCTGGGCTTGGGCACTATCCCTGTGCTCTTCACTCAAGGCGAGTGCTCTACCGCTTGAGCCACAGCACCACTTCCGATTTTCTATCGGTTTATTGGAGATAAGAGTCTCACTCCTGCCCGGGCTGGCTTTGAACCTCGATACTCAGATCTCAGCCTCCTGAGTAGCTAGGATTACAGGCATGAGCCATTGGCGCCCAGCTTGGACAGTGATTTTTATTTTAATTGTTTTTGTAGTGTTTTGTTTTTTTCCCCTTCTTGTTATAAAATATATGCATTATATAGGGAAAACAAAAATAAATCCACTTCATATCCTATTAACTGGAAATAGCCATTTTTATATTTTGGTGTACTTTCTTTTCTTTTTTAAATTTATTTTTTATTTCAACCTTTTCTGTTTTAATCTTTTAAGAATTCAGTTATGTTTAAAAAAAAAAAGAATTCAGTTAGGGATCTAGTTGTATATTTGACTTAAAAAAACCAGGACTAAAGTATATTATTTTATAGTCTTCTCTAATATAGACATGTCTGTGTCACTAATGGTCACCCCATTTTTAGTGGCTGTTTAGCATTTTCAGTTATTGAACCAGTTTTCTGGGCCTTAAAGAGGTTCCTGCTTTTCCCTGTTATAAATATCATGAGCATCTGTGAGTGTACTTGTGCAGACATTTAGGCTTAGAATTGTTGAATTGGGTTGTGTTGCCAGAAGGGTTTGCTCTCATCCTTGATGACTGGTAGAGGCCCTTTCCTACCCTTTTACTGCAGTAGACTTGGTTTCCTAGCTATAACCTCTTCAGTTGACTAGGTGAAAAGTGGCATCTCATTATTATTTACATTTCTTTAATTCTAGAGACAGCAAACATTTGTCACCTCTTTAATAACTATTGGTTTTGTTTTTGTGGTGAATGGTTGTTTTGCTTTGTTTTGTTTCTGTGTAGTCCAAGTAATTTGTATAGCTTCCTATTGGAAGATTGATGAGAAATTTGAATATAAGATTTAAAAAAAAATCACTGGCTTAGCTGATGATACAAGGGGTACAGGAACCTTTTCTTTTCCTTTCCTTTTCTCTTTTTTTCTTGGAAGTACAAGGCTTTGAACTCAGGGCCTCACGCTTGCTAGGCAGGTGTTCTACCAGCAGAGCCGTACTCCCTCACACCTTGCTTTAGTTATTTTTGAGGTAGAATTTTTGCCCAGGCTGTCATTAGACCTTGATCCTCTTACCAGTGGCCTCCTGCTTAGCTGGTATGATAGGTTTGTTCCACCATGCCCACTCATTAATTGACTTGAAGGTTTCCCTAACCTTTTACCTGGGCTGGCCTCAAACCATGATCTTCCTAATCTTCCTATCTTCAGAGTAGCTAGGATTATAGGGGTGAGCCACCATGCCTGTCCTGAAAGGCAAATCTCAATGTATTATATAGTATTTTAAGTAACACTTGAAACGTGTTTAAAATTGAATAGGAGCTTGGGGTCAAGCTCAAGAGGCCCTGGGTTCACCAATACCTGAATCTATATAACAGCTCCTTGAAATTATTTCTTATAACATAATTTAATTTCAGACAAGGTCAGAAGTGCATAAATTTTAAGTATATATTCCAAATGCAAAACATGGTGTGATATTTAGTTTCTGAAATTCACTAGGTAAAGCCTTCCTGAGAAATAAGTCATTTAGAAAGAAAGTTGGACTGTGTTTTGAAATGATTGGTCAGGTGTCTAAATACATGGGCCAGGTGACTATTCCCACAAATCAGGCTTGGTTCCACAAGTTTGAGGACAGGGAACTAGTTTTCCCAGATCCCTGGTGGTGACAGATCAAATGCCATACATTTAAGGAGATATATGGTGCTGTGCTAATCCATTCTTTTTATGGTACATTTCATTGAATTTATAGCTGCTTTTGAAGCCAGGTGAGAATGTCTGTAGTCACCCAGCATATCTATAGCAGGCCAAGACCTACTTGGTTGTCCAGTGAATTGTAGCTTCTGGGTCATCAGGTTTTCTTGTCATTTGAGCCAGGCATTCAGTGAAATTGGGAATAGTAACTAATTTTTTTTTTTTTTGGTCCAGTCGTGGGGCCTGAACTCTGGGCCTGGGCACTGTCCCTCAGCTCTTCAGCTCAAGACTAGCGCTCTACCACTTGAGCCACAGCGCCACTTCCGGCTTTTTTCTTTTTGCTTATG